TTGTCATGGTAACGTGTTTAATATTTTGAATAAATCACAGATCGACAATCCGTGATTAATCGATCATTTAGCGTGGTACATATCCGTACGCTAAATGCCATTTTAGTTATGTGAGTAGAAAAAAAATAATCTTGATATAATCTTATAGTCTTTCATTCAAAATTTGTCTTTGTGTTCCGTCTCATCCACTCATCATATGATTTAAAAAAATCACGCAGGACGCATACAGTGCCTGTCTAAAGTCAAATCCCTCAGCTATTCTTCAAACTACCTGGTATATCGCAACGAAATTTGGAGGCAGGGCCGGATTATCCAAAAGGCGGACTAGGCAACTGTAGGGTTAATCCGGCCCTGTTTGGAGCGCTCAAATAGGAGATGAAACCCTCTTTTTCTTCTTCTTCTCATAATTTTTAACAGTTTCATCAAATACATTTCACTACTAAATTGATACTTTTCAAAATATTGACCTTTGAAAACTGACATTTTGTTCATTTCAAACCCGCAACTATAAAAACTCGAATGTCGCTTTCGATCTAGTTTGCTTTGTAAAAAATCGGAATGTTACCACCACAACGATATTTTCCCAAAGAAAACTCGATTGGACTTTCGAGTTTTCAGTTATGTTATGAAAAGATTCCGAGAATGAGAATGTAGTGATATACGGAGCGATCCATTTGAAAAATTAATTCAAATGGCCCTCGCGGTCTCCATTTTAAAACTCTAAGCTATTATTTTTCTATTAAAGAGTAGGTTTCCATCTACTATTTGAGCTTTCCAAATTTGGTCGCGATATACATGGTGGTTCAAAAATTACTAGGAAGAGAGCGGACTTTAGACGGACACTGTATATTTTACAATATATATGTCTGTGAATATTTATATGTTTACATTCACCTCTCTCTGTAGGTAGTCAGTACACGAGTATGCCATCTCTTATGCAATAAAACTTAATTTACGAGCAGAACGAAGAAAGAAGTTGAGTAAATATTTGCATGGAAGATTATACCATCTGCACCAAACTCTACTTGGATGGAGATGAGAGCAGGAAGTTTGTCAGTACAGCAGAACATTCCGTTCAGGATAGTTTACGTAAATATCATACAGGGTGAGTCATAAGGAACTGTACATATACTCCTACCACGAATAGAGGCCCTTGAGAGGAATGTATAATGACCATCAGAAAGTGTCTTCTTCGCTTCTTGACCAATATACAGGGTGATTCAGATTTTGAGGCACAAAACTGAAATGGGAGATACATCTCATCATTTTGATCAAATAAGTTTATATAAACATAAGTCCGATCTCGTTTATTAGCGGAGCTACAGGGGGTCAAAGTTTAATTATGTTTTTCTATTAATTGAAATATCTCGCTCACTTTTCAAGATATCGTTTTGAAATTTGGTGTGGTCAATACTTTCTAGAAGATCATCATTTCAAGCCATTTGAAGATTTTTAAAATCTACAGGGAGATACGTTTTTGGGGGTAGAGGCGTCTTTATACCCCCCCAAACTTTTTCATAGTACGCCTCTGGCATCTTTCAGTGATCAAATTGTGTGGATCGTTCAATTTACAGGTTTTTTCGTTCCTTCATTTTTTTCGAGAAACAAACCGGTTTTGAGATAAATAAGCATATACGTTCTAAAACATGTTAATTTTGCCTATGTTTCGTTTACATTTTATTTTCTTTGAAAATGCAATGAAATGTACTCACTAAAATTGCAATCACGAGTCCAATCTGGATCAGTATTTGGGATACAGATGGTAAAAAGTCAAGGTTTTTTTTCAGTTGAATAAAATTTAAGCGAATCATAGGCAAAATTAACATGTTTTAGAACGTATATTCTTATTTATCTCAAAAACGGTTCGTTTCTAGAAAAAACTTGAGGAGCAAAAAAAGCCTCTAAATTGAACGATCCACATAATTTGATCACTGAAACATGCCAGAGGCGTTTTACGGAAAAGTTTGGGGGGAATAAGAAAGCGTCTACCCCCATAAACGTATCACCCTGTAGATTTTGAGAATCTTTAGATGGCTTGAAATGATCATCTTCTAGGAAGTATTGACCACACCAAATTTCAAAATGATATCTTGAAAAGTGAGCGAGATATTTCAACTAATAGAAGAAAATAATTCAGCTTTGACCCCCTGTAGCTCCGCTATTGAACGAGATCGGACTAATGTTTATATACACCTTTTTGATCAAAATGATGAGATCTATCTTCCATTTCAGTTTGTGCCTTAAAACCTGAATCACCCTGTATAGAGTGAATTATGAGATTTGGCAAAAACATCTTTTGGGCATAACTTCTCAACAGGTCCTTCGATTCGTCTGATTTTTTTTTATGGAATATTCCTTTACTAAACCCTAATCGACTGACATTTCCAGAATCGAACAAAACCAGGACCGTTTTGGTAAATTTCGATAGATCAGTTTTTATCAGAAATTTAATCCTGTATATGGTTTCTGTAAACTGTGACAAGGAATTTTCGGAGCACACAAACAAGCATCAAGATTAAAATATTCAAAATTCTCCTCACACTTTCACTGAATTTTTCAAAGAACGACAAATTTTAAGCAAAAACGAAAGTTTGACAACAAAATTCATTCGAAAATAATTACTTCGCAACGCAATCAACATATTTCTTCATTTCCAGACCTGGATTTCGTCATTTCATTTTTGTGGAGGGTAATAGTCACCCCGAGAGTCACCCTGTAGATCTTTTTCGAATCAGTGGATGGGGTATCTGTTTATTTGTTGATGGTCATTGATTCAAATAATTCAAGATAGTCGAACAGAAAATAAAGGTTTATTGACAATAATTTTTCAATAGCTATAATGACAAATAAAATAAATCGAATAGATAATACTGTGAATTGAAATCAATACATTTCTTGCCAAATTTTCGTTTTTTCATTAAATTCATAGTTTTTTTTAAATTGAAGTGGAAGTGTGAGGAAAATTTGGAATATTTCATTTCTCATGTTTATTTGTGACCTTTGAAGATTTCCTGTCACAGTTTACAAAAACGATATACAGGATGAACTTTTTGCTATTAAAATTTTTTCAAGAACGGTCCTGGATTCTCCGATTCTGAATAAGTCAGCCGATTAGAGAGTAATACCGGAATATTCAATGGAAAAAGCAGACGAATCGAAGAGTTATGACCAAAAGATGTTTTTGCCAAATCTCATAATTCATTCTATATATTGGACAGGAAGTGAAGAAGAAACTTTGTGATGGATGGTATTTTCCTCAGGAGCCTCTATTCGTGGTAGGTGTATGTACAGTTCTTGATGACTCACCCTGTATAAGGTTTCGTCTATCAGCAATAAAAAATAACACGTCTCCCCATCTGACGGCAACATTTGAACAGCGGTTTGTTTTGATGGATGTGACCAATAAACATAAACAAAAAACAAATATGAACCAATGGAAACTAATCAAACAGACCGCTTTGACTTTGACCGCTGACAAAAACTCCGATAGGTGGCGTACGCTTGGATACTAGGCTGTGTCAACTGTCAAGTCATTCGTCCGACCACAGTGGTGATACCAGAAATACCAGAATGGTCAATGGCGAGGTCAATGGCTAGAAGCTAGGCTTGTTCGCGTTCATAATATAAACAGCCCGAAATCATCAGGAGCATGCGCAGTTTCACAGAACAGTACGCATTTTTTAAGTTCCGTGGAACTGCGCATGCTTCTGACGGTTTTGGACTGTTTATTTTTCGAACGCCTGTGGAAGTATTCCCAACAACATATAATCTCCAAAAGTTCAAAAAAATTCCAATACCTACCTCCTGTCCCTATCCTCCCTAGGAAAGCACGATGTTCTTTGAACATTATAGGGATGCCCTTTCGTGCGCTCCAAGCGATAAAAAAACCTAATGTGGTAACTTTGTGTGCAGGTTTGAAACAGCTGGCTGGTCAGACTTCATAGTGAACGTATGTGCCCGGTCGCATTTAAACATTACGGTATAGGCCTGCTTAAATTCTATTGGCCGATTTTGATTTATCTGACCAATTGAAGGCGGAGTGCCGAAATTCGTACCAGAATGTTGAGCGGTGCTGAAACACAGGTCGGAATGTTGATGAAATGAAAGCTCGAGTTAATGTGTAATGAACGCATTTTTCAATAACTTTAGAAATTTTCATTTATATTCATGATTTATTTGGTATAAAAGTTTAAAATGAATGATTATATGTGATAAAATGAGATAATAAATTCGAAATAACAATAATTAGAACACTTAATGTCTGTCAATGTCCTATTCCATGGGACTTAGCGTTTTGGTTGATTTCTCGCCACGTTACCTGCCAAACTGCGTCTTCATCTTCTTCGAATACATTTCATGAGCAAATAAAAAAATATTTAAAAAACATAAAATTGTTACCTGTACAAGAATCTTTTAAAATTTGTAGGGCCTGATTTGAAACGCCATGATGTAAACGACTGAGCTTCATAATCATTCATCCATTGCACAACTTCTGTTTCATTCTACATATTGCCCCTATACAAATTTTCTGAAACTTTTATTAATCTTTCCATAATTAGTGATTTATGGTATACTTCACTAATTGATGATTGCACTTAACTATAATAACAAGATTGCAGGTTTGTTGTTAGCATGTGCAGAGATTATGGGGAGTGTATAATCTCTGGCATGTGGGAACGACGGTATAATCAAAAAATACGCAGGTTAGGTAAATGCGAGGGTAAATGTAAACAAAAACCGCGCAAAATGAAGGGCAACATTCCGACCTGCTTTTCAGCACCGCTCAACATTCTGGTACGGATTTCGGCACTTCGCCTTTAATTGGACAGACAAATCAAAATCCGCCAATAGAATTTAAGCAGGTGCCGAATCCTATACCGGAATGTTTAAATGCTGCCCGGTCAAACCACAGACTTGACACATCTAAGCTTGACACAGCCTTAGTACACCTCTGATACCATTCATTCGGTCGAACACGACACCTCGAAACACTGTCAACAGCAACAGGTGCCAACACAGGCACCTGTTGCTTCGACACCCCGTCTGTCACACAGAACTCAAAGGTCTGTCATCGATAGTTCATCGCAAGAACAAGAAACAACAAACCGATAAACACCAAAATATTTCCTCCACCACCAACAGCAGCATCCTCTCCATCCGTACTATATAATTACGAAACGCTTCTGCCGCTGGAAGACCGTCACGTGACCAGCCGGAGCGGTTTCCACTCGACAGACGGTCGCGAACAACAGCGAAAGTGCCATGCAGCTCCGTCCGATCCTGCTGCTGGCGTTGACATACCACGTGACGGGGGCGCGAACGCAAAGTCACCCCCAAGTCAGTCCGGAATATGCGCGTAGTCCACGAGATGATGCGCGTAGTCCGTTGAAAGATGCGCGTAGTCCGTTGAAAGATGCGCGTAGTCCACAAAAATCGGAGGGTGGCGGTCATTTTCTGCGTAAGCATTGGGGGATGCACAGACACGGTAGCAGGGCTGTAAAGGATGGCGATAGGGCGTGGAAAAGTGGTGATTTGGAGAGGATGGTGGTGGATTCTGACACGGGGGTGCAGTACAACCCTTACAGCAAGCATCATCCGGGGTGAGTTGGTAGGGGTAGTTGTTTGATTAGGAATCGTTATCAGAACGAAAATTCCACGCCTGATATTTTCAGTTTCGACCAATTTGTAAGCCTGTATTTTGTATCGTTAACGTAGCAACTAAATAAATTTCCGTAATTTATTCCTCCTCCTTGGGGGGAGGACATTTAGATTCAACTATAAGTTGGTAAGTTCCTTGTATCAAAATATATTCCCACCAGCTCTAGTGCTTTTGCTTTATTAATATTTTGCGCGTGATTAAAGTCGGTATTTTATATTTTTTCTGCAACCGACACAAAAGTCGTCCATTTTGATACTAAAATTAGCTCTTAAATTGACGTTTCTATTACTGACACAAAAATAGGTATGTTGCTAGGCAACATATTTAGTTCCTAGGAGCTAAAGTTGAATTTTAGTTCCTAGGAGCTAAAGTTGAACTTTAGCTCCTAGGAACTAAAAAGGATATACTGGACGTCATCAAGAATAAACAACATTGTGAAGTCTGGTTATTTGGGTTGAGAAGCATACCTGATTTGTTTCCGATTTCAGCAGATTTGGCATTTCATACCCATGCTGGAGATATAAATACACCTTACTATAGTTTAGTATTGGAATTATAAACATCCCAGTTAAGTATTTTCGTTTTGATCAGGGAAGCCTTCAAGATTCAAATACTTGCTTGATCTGTATTTCATTCGTTATTCTCGGGATGGATAACTTGTTTTTGAATAATCACGGCAAGGAATAGTTTTTTTGTCTCAAACAACGATATTGTTTAGCTTCATTTGATTATCAAGTCAAACACAGTGTAGTATGGAGAGGAATAAATAATCACTATTATCATTGTTGATATGCTCACTAACTTAACATTTTCCACGTCTTGTTCCTATATAGCTGGCACTGGCGCGGTATTTGCCATTAGAGCACCTGGTCCATACACAAATATGTCACACTGTGGTTGTATTTATATTGAAACTACAATTCGAACATCCTTGAAAACCTAACCTGCTGTTAATGCAGGTAGAATATTCTCACCACACGGATTATTTGTCAATATTTGTTGCATTGCATACATATGGCACGACATTGGTGGTTACTTCACATGTTTATTTGAGTTAATTGTTTCGGTTGCAGAAAAAATAGCATGTTTCATTCGGATCAAAAGTGACTTTGTTCGACTCGCAAATTTTGCTTTCGCTCGGCTTCGCTAAACGCTCCGCCTCGCAAATGCAAAATTCGCTTGTCAAACAAAGTGTCACTTTTGATCCTAATAAAACAATCTACTATTATTTAGCGTAATCTTATCCTAGTATTTTTTTTAAATTTCTGTCTGAAATTTTCTTACCAAATACGAGACCAAATACCACACTATAGCTACAATAAAAAACGAATATTCAGAAAATTCTCCCTTGTCTTGTTCTCGAAAAAATTTCCGGTAATATTTGAAGCTCTCGTGGTATTATAAGTGAAATCTTTGAAGAACTAACAAGAATTTAAATTAAGATTTAAAGGATGGTTTGGTTGGTGGACATTTTAGATAAAGGAGGTGTGGTGTGTTCGAAACCAGAGTCAAAACCTTCAAAGAAGTCATTTATTGAAAGTGTGAAGAAGCAATAAAATTTTACTGTTCACATGTGAAGTGTTTACAATCCATGAACTATTACAATCCAAATAACTATCAAAATTTTTAATGTTTCCTTACTTTTCACTTTGCTTGATGAAACAAAGAGAACAATACATGGGAGAAATGAGAAATGGAGAAAACATGATTCTTTCGAAGATTGAAAACTTCAACTATAGACTGGCCGTTGTCGTTCTAAAAATGAAAACCTATAGTTAATCGGCGAGTGGTATTATATTTTCTTTTCATTGACTCAAATTTGTCTGCCTGTAAATAGCGCTAGTTTACTGAAAACATCGGGAGCTCATTTGTTTCAATAGAATGGTTGTCAGAAGGGACAATTTTAGGTTGAAGTTTCCAAAGGTCACCTCAGATTTGTCTGATTTATTTTTTTTTATTTATTTCAGTTATTGCATTACATTCTCTTCTGCATTGATACATTTCATACAGATAATATATAAAGTATAATTAATTTTCTAGTAATAATGACATGAATGATCAGACAGTAATTCCTGGTATAAGATCATTCATGAAGTATTATCGACTATTGTATAATTGAAATTACAAATAGTGAACAAAACTTTCAAGTTAGTTGTTGGTTGTTGGTTTGATGATCGTTTAATTTTTGTCTTCAATTTTGCACTTCTACAAGAGGTGGTGGAAAGTGAATTCTTTGACAGTCCTTTCTCAACAATGACGAGAATTTAAAGGCAGAAACTAGAAACAAGCATATTTTTTTCATGATTTTTGGCTATAACTCAAATTCCAGAAAAATTATTGGTGGCAAACCTCAGATTCATGATCAGCATCCTAAACAACATATACGGTCATTTTGCCCTTATCATGTGATGTTTTTTTTTTCGAACATTTTCATTGGAACTTACGTATTCTTGTCTCAAAAACACAAATTTGATAATGAAATTGTGAACAAACAACTATTTATCGAGATATTTCACGAAAGAGTTCTGAATTTCACCATCTTTTTCCACTTGTCTTAGAACTTTAACATTTTCTGAAAATTCATATCACAAAACTAGTTTCAAACTTCAGAGTGGAAAAAGAGATTGAAGACGGAAGAAAAACTTTCAAACTAATTTGTATAACGTTTCAACAGCAATTGTTCAAAAGTTCATGTTCTTTCAAAATTTGTTGACATTTGATATCTAAAATTAAATGGCTGTCAGCTGGTATGATTAATCAGATGGAAAACTCACCAAAAATTATATACCAGAAAATGCCTATTCAAATACAGGCGGAAAAAGAAGGTGAAATTTAGAACTTTTTCGTGAAATATCTTGATGAATTGTGGTTCTTTTACATTTTCCACTTCTATCAGAAACATTTAGCAACTTTGTTATTTCTAATGGAACACCCTATATTTTATTGCATCTTCAGATTCTTCCTGAAGAGCTGATTTCATCAATGCATCACACTTGGGGTCTAGCAGGAATAACTACAGAGATATAGGGTGTTCAAAATCGAAAATTTTCAATTTTAGAATTTTTTGTGTCGAAACTATTCATTATCGATCAAAACGGTTCAAATGTCCCTATCTTAACTTTTGATACACTCAGAATTCTGATCACCCTGTATCTGTCAGTGTCAAAGCAGCTATCAATCAGCTCTCATCCGACACACTTTCAGTTCCTAGGAGTTAAACTTCAAATTAAGCTCCTAGACACTGGAAGTGTTGCCTAGCAACATACATACTAATCATTTTATTGGGTCAGCAAGATAAGTCAACTTCAAGAGCTAATTTTGAAACAAAACTTTTGAATCGATTGCAGAAAAACAAAATTACGACGTTTCCAGCTCAATGATACGACAATAATACCAATCAATCCTATCTCTATAGGTATGTAGATAAAGTTAATGGTTAGAAAAAGTGCAATGGATCGTTGACACAAAACTAAAGTGACTAGTCATTTTCACAAATGCGGTTGTCGAACATTTCGAAATGAACACAACTGATATAGTCAATATACTCATACGTTTACCTTTATAGACTGTATAATATACCTATGATGTATTTATCTATGCTAAACGAGAAGATATCAATCTTTGTAGGTTGGGCTTGGCCCTGCCAATATCCCAGCAGATATATGTCGAAATTGAATTAGCAATGTGTTCTTTGACGTCATAGACATAGATTATTATTTGACATGTCGATATGGAAATACAAGCTATAATGTAACGACAATAAACGGAATGCCAGGAAACTGATAGAGAAATCTATCAGTAGGGGAAACGAGGGGAATAATGGACTAACTCTCTAATAGTGGACAATGGACTGGCATATTTCGAAAACCATTAGGTCAGAAAAAGTAATATCATCTATGTTTATTGTAGTTGATGTATGAATTAGAAAACCAGGACCAATTGATAGCATTTTCCGATAGGGTAATCTCTAATTGAATTTTCTTTTTTCAATTATTTTTTGTCCATTATTTTCCTCATGAGGGTAAATGTAGACGTAATGAATAGTTTGTTCATTATTTCTTCATGGGGATCCAATAACTTGGTAGATTTCAATGCAAACAAAACACAAGCATGCCTTTTCTCTAGAAAAGCCGATCTCACTGTGCCCAGTATAAGCTTGTCAGGAGTAACCATACCTTTGAAGACATCCATTTCGATGCTTGGTATTACTATCAGCAATAACCTTTCTTGGGAAAACCACGAGAGATCAATTGCAAAAAGTGCATCCCAAATACTTGGTTTTCTGTTTCGGACCAGGAGCTATTTCTCTTCCAGTCAGCTGCTTATGATCTATGAGGCACAGATCCGACCTGACCTGGAATACTGTTCACATATTTGAAGTGCAGCACCCAAACATACCCTGAAACTGTTGGATTTTGTCCAAAAAAGGGCAATTCGTCTCGTGGGTGATGCCTCGCTTACAAACTCACTCACTTCTCTGGAACACCGTAGAAAAGTTGGCGATCTGGCTCTATTTTATAGACATTTTCATGGATAATGCTCTCCTGAAATATCAACAATTGTTCCTCCCTTGGCAGTCCCCGCGAGATTAACCCGTCAAGTTGAGGCTTCGCACCCCTTCGTGGTCACTTTGGAGACCTGCAGAACATCTCTCTCCAAAGATTCGTTCATCCAACGAACAGCGAGGCTCTGGAACACATTGCCAAGGGAGGTGTTCCAATTCCTACCTTATTTCCCTTGGTTCTCACCATGTTCTCTGAACATTACAGGATGTCCCTTTTCGTGGGAACCAGATCATAAAAAAATTAACATACTAAAGTAAAGTGCTCTTATTCCCCCCACGTCCTCTATTCTTCATGTCTACTATGAGTATTTGAATGTTGATGAGAAAATGCTCTCTCGTATTTAGTTTCAGTACCTACTTAAAAAGTTATCGCGATT